GAGTGCGCGTCTGACAATGCCCCGACTATTCTTTCCCTGGGTGACCCTTGCCCTCCAAGCTGTCTCCCTGCCCCCCTCCTCTGCCCCGTGGATGTGTTTTTGTCGCCGCGCCGCGGCCGCGACTTAACGTAACGCGTGTCGCAACGGGGGCGCCCCTCTCCAGCCGGGCGTGCGCGCGAGCACGTGAGGACCCCGACGAGAAAGAAAATAAAAAAGGCGTCCGCCGGGACTCGAACCCGCCGCCGCGTTAGTGTTGGGTCCCTCGGTGAGTACCGGCCCGGGAGTGAAAGGGGAGCTGCCCAAGAACTCGCTGCCCTGACTGACGCGCTCCTTATTCTGCCTTTCCCCCAGGTCCGCGATGCAACTCCGGAGGACGGTGATGACGCTGGCGGGCGCGGCGCTGCTCGCCCTGCTGTTCGTCGACGTGGAGGTGCAGGCCGCGCCCGCGCCCCAGGAGTCGTCCTTCGAGCTGCCCGTACAGCTCATTGGCTTCCCCGTCATCATCCTGGCTGTGCGTGTCTCCAACTTCGTCAAGAAGCTTGCCTACTCGCTCAACCCCGGTAAGTAAGGGCATGACGCCTGACGCCTACCAGCGCAACGAAGTTTAGAGCTTTTCTTTCCATACGTACGACGCGTATGCACCATTCTTATTTGTAGCTCGCCATAACGGTTTGAGTTGCAGTAGTCAAACTCGCCCAAACGACGCCTGTATGCGATACGGTATAACTAAGGCTTAAGGGCCATCTTCCCCTCATCTCTCTATGGATCCCACAATATTTTTCTCAAGACCACCAGATTCTGCTCCAAGCCATGAGCGCTAGCTGCCTGTTCTCTCGGCTCCGCCGTGCCTGGGTACGTTTCCCATGCATCTGGAGCTCGGGCCGCTCGTTCGTGTTCGTACGTCGCGATGAAAGTGACCAGGCGTGCGCCCGGATCGCTCGTGGCGCTGCACGCCCGCGTTACTTTCCTCCGGACCTTAGACCCCATGGGCTCGTCGCATGCGAGAGGAAAGCAAGCGAGCTGAGCAGTCTCGGGGTTACGGAAACGGAAGAGAGGAGGGAAAAAAGTGTGTGCAAACGGAAAAGAAATCGATGACATGAGAACGACAAAAGAGAGTTTGGTGTGATTAATAAACGGTTGTGACGCAACGTCATTGCCCCCGAGAGAATAGGTTTAAGATCTAAATCGCCGTCGCAGTGATCGGCCTGTTCGGCGTCGCCGCCGTGCACGTCCGGAGCGCTGAGTGCGGCAACACCTCGCCGAGCCCGAGCCAGCCAGCAGCGCCCGGCAGTCTGCATATGGGCGCTGCTGGCACCTGGCGCTGCTGTTGCGGCCATGATTGATTAATCGTCGTTTCTGCCCCCCATTCCGCCAGGCACCTACCGCTCCCGCACCCGCCGCGGCCTCGAGCCGCCCGCCCTGGACCCCGCCGCCGTGGAGAAGCGCCTCGTGCAGGAGATGGGCGAGTCCGTGTGCGTCTACGAGCACGTGTGCCGGGAGTACGCGGAGCGTGCCGGCTGATGCTCGTCGAGGCCCTGCAGGTTGTCCGTCGCCTCGCCCCATTTGCCCTCGCGTGGTGGGGCTGCTGAAGCAGCTCCTGTTCCTGTGGTCCATTCCGGTCCGGGTGTTCCTTCCGCTGCCCTCGCAACCCGCCGCATAACAGACCTGGCCGACGCCGCCCGGACCGCTCTGGTCCGTCTGGTCGCCTGCAGGCCCCAGGCCCTGGCCGCCCCTGGCGCGGCCGCCTCCATGGCGTGCGGCGCGGGTGCGCCTCCAATCGGCCGGGGCCGGGCGCGGCGCGAAAGATATGCGGCTCATATGAGGCAACGTGCGCGGCCCGGTGCCAGCCGGAGCGTGTATCTTAGCGTCGGCCGGGGATGTCTGATGAGTGGGCGCCAGGAGGGGCTGCGGCCGGAGGCGCCGCCCCTCCTGTGTAGCGCACTCAGCCCTGTCCCAGATGACGGCGTCACCAAGGGCACATAACCAAAGGGATCTACCATATAGTAGTACGTCATGTTTTTCGCAAACTCTTTCGGGTAAATTAGGGTCCCTCGGCGCCTGCGGAACTCGGGGTAGGCCACTCCGCACTACACGCATGCACGGCAGGCGAGATGTTGCCTACCCATCAGGCGCTACGAGAGCCCCTGCATAGGCTGAACTCAGCGTTTCGTAACGGCGAACGACGGACGCACTTTTTGGGTGATCCCCCGACTGACTCCCATCGTGTCGCCGAATCCACTCCGGGCCGCACTAAGGGGCCAAGGCCAACCACCGCCAGCACCATGAGCAGAGGGAGGGTGCTCCGCGTCCCGCCACCACCGGTGTTGTGACCCAACTTCGGGCCCAACACTGCATGAGTCAGTCGGCGAGTTTTGAGGGGACATTTGGGTGCGGGGGACCCACGACATGCTTCTAGGTATTATTCTCTCGGTCATATAGCGAGCGCCGTCATTCATACGGAGAAATTGATACTCGTTACATGTGAGAGCCCACTTCTTCTTTGTAATCTTTTTTTTTCGCGCTTTGCAATAACGAGTGCGCGTCTGACAATGCCCCGACTATTCTTTCCCCGGGTGACCC